GCAACTTTGATTTGGGGGGAAATGGGGTGATATTTTTCAAACCTCTTTTCAGTTCAAACCTTTTTTTTTTTTTGCACAAAAAGCAGTGGGTTGTTTTTCAGTATGGAAACAGACAGACACCCCTTTCTAGATATGTATCAAGATTTTCTCACATGAATAATTCAAAAGGGTTTCATTTGAGATATTTCAAACATAGCCAGTAGCTATTTCTAAGAAGAATAGTCACTGTTTTCAAGAAAAATTGAAAAAAATTAATGACGTGGTAAGAATGTGATTTAGATTCTTTCGAGAAGGAGGGAAGGCGATACAGCGTCAGGACTCCCCTGGGTGCCCCTTCCTCGCTCGTGACCTCAGTGCCATCTCAACATGTGCTAGCGCCCTATTTTATCTTCACATCTTAAAGTTATCAGACACCCTACATGGAATGTGGACTTTTGATCTCCGCAAAGAATCCTTTCTTATTGAGGCATAAACTTGTTCTCCCCACCCTTCTCTGATCAGACGGAGGTCAAGCTAAATCACTTCAACTTTTGTTGCAAGTAACAAATAATTCTAACAATAAAAGGAATGCATTGGCATTTAAAGGAATGATATCTAATCCCTTTCAATGCCAGTGTATTCCTTTTGTGGTTTAAGTCAGAATTTTCTGTTACTTGCAACAAAAGTCAAAATGGTTTGAACCAAGGTTCAGGTTAATTTTGTGACAAAAACAAGAGTAAAACTATGTTTTATAGAGTTTTCAATGGCTAATTCCTCCCAGGCACTCCTTGGTACACTGAAGTCTCCAACCTTCCCATCAGCAGCTGAGTGTGCCAACCATATGCACCACCAAAAGACTCCTTAATATCGACACTGACTCTAGACCCACTGGCATCGAGTCAAGTCCAACACATAGCGACGCAATATAGAGCGTCGGAGGCTGCAAATCTACTGGAGCGGATCACCTCCTCTTTTTCTGCAGAGCAGCTGGTACTTTGGCCCTTGTGGTTAGCAGGCTAACGCGTTCCCACCAGCACCACCAGCTATTAGGTCTGGTTCTTCCTCCTGTATTTGCGTTCTTTGAAGTTACTTATTTTCCTTTCCTCCTACCCCACTACCCAGCCACAAAGGTACTTCTTCCTTGTAGCAAGGAACCTTAACTCAAATACACAGAGAAAATCCTCTACACCTGGCTTGGGAATGCCCTTGGACCACGGTTCTTTCTACCTGGGGACCTTTATAAGTATTGCTGCCCTCTCTGTCGTCTCCCTGGGTAACTCTCAGCCACCTTGCTGTCATCCAGATTTCAGCTTAGAAATTTGATTTCTCCTATATTGCATCTCTCTCTTGTATTTGCTTATAACACATAGCTCACCTTCTTGGTAACACTTATTATCAGTATAATAAGACTCAATTGTGAAGTCTATCTGTTTAATATCTGTCTTTCCTGCTAATCCACATGGCAGGACCATACGTATCTTGATACCCCTGTTGAATCCTTGATATCTGGTACAATACTAGGAATATAATAAGCATCCAACACATATGTATTGAGTAAATAGAATGATGGTTTATCAAAATGCCCATATTAAATATCAATATAGCTAAAATTCAGCTGTGAGGAGGAGGTGGATAGAGATAAAATAACTTCTGAAAGAACATTGAGATTCTATTTTTCCACGTAAATGATTATGGGGTCTGGCATCTTCTGGAATGGCTTGGTACCATCACATCCTGCTTTAAGGTTGAGCTCAGTCACTGGTGCTCTGCAAACACTCTATGGACGAATGTGATAGAAAAGGCAGGCTGGTGCTTCTGAAATGAGATGATGAATTGTTGAGTTTGAAAGGTAATGATTCACATGAGAATCCTATGAGACTTATTTCTCTAGAAAATCCTGCAACGTAGGTTTGATTTTTCCTGTCCAGGGCTCAATCATGAGATCCGTGTAAGGCTCCAAACTTGGCTATCACGTATGAGAAGTATCAAGGAGATTCAAGGACTTAGCTGCTGGGCCATCCTTTCAGAATACATTTACTACCACTACCAGTGTGGCAGGTACAGTATTAGGCACTAGGATGAGATATCACAATGAAAGGGTGTAGACCAGCCCTCTTTGAGCTTCCAGCTAGAGAAAGGTACAAGGGAGCTTCCAAAGGTTTGAGGAAAAGTTCCATGATCTTTGAATTCCATTTTTCCCTGTCGGTAAGGAAATATCATGGCAAATACTATAATGAAAGTACTTGAGAAATGAGTTCTTCCCAAGAGAATCATGGCCGCTTTCTCAGAGGAGATGCCCCTTGGGCTGAGGCTCTGATGAATGAGGAGGAGTTTGCAACAAGGTAGAGTTGGGTCACTCTGTTTTGCTCTCCTTCCTTGGAAAATACTACAGGAAAATATGAATCCAAGAAGGACTATGTAACTGTATGTGGCCAAAACATATTTTCTCATATCCTCTGAACATATTTCCTGAGCATGAGAAGAAAAATGAAATTGCTTAAGTTATGGGCTTATAGTGGTCCCCAGGTCAGTTAAAGGCTGCCAAGCTGAAAAATTTACATCCCAGAAGTCTGAAAGTCATTATACTGACCTCTTTTCTCTTATATTGGGGCCCAAATCTCAGTGAACCACACGGCATTTTGGGGAGGGGGAGTAGCATGGGGGGGGGGCAACAGGGTTAGAAGTATGACTGACTTTGTACTGCCAGCTGCTGGCTTTGCAGTTGTCCTGGGGACACTGACAGCTGTGTGGCTTTAGACAGGATTCTGTACCAGTGTGGGGGAAGGGAGTAATTTCCAGCTTCAGACTTGAGAGGCAGGGCTATCTAGCACAGTCCTTTTAATCACACTCACTGAGGAGGCCTACAGAAGCTTCGAACCCCACAGCCTCAATGCTTCGGGAGAGGACCCAGTGGTTCCAGACATCATCACTCCAACTCTGATGGTGTAGAATATTGGAAAAACCCAAAGAACGATCACTTCTCCAAGAACATGGACAGTTCCTAATGGCATCATAAAAAGAGGCTCATAAAACTGAAGCCTGCAAGGAAAAACAAGGCCATTTTTTCTGTCCGAGCACTTAAGCCTTGGGAAGAAACAGCAATCTGTCAATCCAGGCCCTGGTACTTAGGCGGAGTTTTCAGTGGCTGGCCCATTACAAACACATCGCGAAGCTGAAGTGATGCCAAAACAAGGAGACTCGGGTCTTCTACCTCCATTGCAACGTTTCCAAGCAGAAAAGTAAATTAGCCTTGGCAAAAGAATTGTTTATTCATGTTGTTTTATGAAAGGCATGGCATATGGGGAGCAGAGTCCTCCACAGAAAATCGCTGCCGGCCACTTATTTTTGTTTGGAGCTGATAACGTTCCACAGTGGGGATAGCCTCCCAAGGACACGTCCCACCAGGGCTTTTTATGCTTGGCTACTCAGAGGAGTCGGGGGAACACATTGAAAAATAGCATTTGGAAGGACAAACAGCTCACCTGGCCAATTGCTTTTCTTGTCTGGCTTTGCATTTCTACCTAGAGAGGATGACTGGGGTGTGCGGAAGAGCTGGCATGGCTACTCCCATGCAGACAGAAGTTCCCGGACCCCAAAGGCTCAAGACACCCTTGTGGTCAGTTGGCCAGAAGGGGAGCTATAATAGAAGGGCTCTCTAGACATGAAAGCTCATTGGCAGTGTGGCATCTATTCACTCCACCCCTGACACTCCTGGACCAGGCGAAGTGCTTATCACTTGGGTTGAAAGAATGAGCTCAGAGGTGATGGGACTTGGGGCAGGGCTTGCCCATAAGTGACCAGCTCAATGCCATGCAGCACATGAAGTGACAGAGGCATGCCAAAGGTAAAAGGGGTATGGAACAACCTTATCCAGTCCACTCCAGTGAATCCTGAGTCTGCCACTTAGTAGCTGTGTGGCTTCAGACAGGATTCTGTACCTCTGTGGATTTCAGTTTCCATATTTGAAATGGGACAACAAACCTTATAGATATATTAGGAGTAATATACAGATAACAAACATTTAAACATTTTGAGTACTGTCTATATATGAGAAACCAGGCCTGTATATAAATTCTGTTAACAATCTTATTAACAA